TTCTTGCAAAACTTCTTGCTTTTCTAATACTTAATCAAAAGAAATTTTATACTAAAGGCCCAAATTTCTCTTCTCATAACTTTTTTTATTATACTCCATCATATCTTCGAAACTAATATGGCGTCTTCTTCTCGTGATAACTTTTATGAAGAGTTGAATGAAGAATTTGATAATCTTTTTGATGAAACATTTGAAAATGAATTGTATTCATATGATGAACGTCAAGTAGCAACCAAATCAAGGAAAAAACGAGGTATATTGAAAGAGATTGTGAAGAAGGATACATCAAGTTATGGAAGATTATTTTAGTGAAATGCAACTTTCTCTACTAATCAATTTCGACGCCGTTTTCGAATGAACAAGCCCTTGTTCATGCTTATTGTTGATCGACACTCCAATGAAATTCAATTTTTTCAACAAAGAAGATATGCAACCGGAAGGTTAGGTTTCTATACACTACAGAAGTCTACAACAGCAACTTGTATGCTGGCATATGGTTGTGCAGCTGATGTAGTTGACGAATACCTTTGTATTGGTGAAAGAACTTCACTATCATGCATACATAATTTTATTGAAGCAATAATTTTTTTGTTCGGAGATGAGTACCTACAAAAATCCACTGTAGAAGATATTGATCGATGACTAATGATTGGAGAGATTCGAGGTTTTCCTAGGATGATGGGAAGCATCTATTGTATGCACTAGGAGTGGAAGAATTTCCCAACCGCTTGGAAAGGGTAATATGCACGTGGATCTGGAAAACCGACGATCGTTTTAGAGGCTGTAGCTTCTCAATATCATTGGATATGACACGCATTTTTTGGACCTCCAGGTTCCTTAAACGATATCAATATTCTTGATCGTTCTCCAATTTGTGATGATATCTTACAAGGTCGAGCTCCAACAGTTAATTATTTAGTCAATGGGAACAAGTATCATTTGGGTTACTATCTCACCGATAAAATTTATCCTAAATGGGCTAATTTTATCCAACCTATTCCGAATCGGCAAACATCTTTATTTGCAACCACTCAAGAAGCTTGTCGTAAAGATGTTGAGCGTGCTTTTGGAGTTTTGCAAGCTCGATTTGCCATTGTGAAAAATCCAGCTCCTATTTGGGATAAGGTAAAAATAAAAAATATTATATGTATAAATACTTCACAATATGATAGTAAAAGACGAACGAGATGTGTACACTCACTTTGATGTCTCTTAATTCGTACAACTGGAATCAACTAGAAGTTCACAAGTGGATTTCACCTATTCTACAAATATTCCTTCAAATCTCGAGAATATGTTGGACACTCGAACTCAAATTCGTGATCGACATGCACATCAACAATTGAAATCTGATTTGGTTGAACATATATGAAAACAATTTAGCAGAAATCAATAGTTAAATTTTATGTTTTCATGTATGTTTTAATTTTTTTATGTCATCTATGTATCAAATATTATGAATTCAATAATGATTAAGTTGTTAAAAATTAAAATATTTCTATATTTTATTTTGAAATTACATTTTTTAAGAACCCTAATTTAATATACTACCATTGAGGTTGCCAAAAATTAAAAACTTACCAAAACTCTTAACAACAAAATTTCAAAAATATTATTCATTAAATATGGTTAAAAACCTTAACTAATATTCCACCATTAAGGATGGTCTAATGTAGTTTATTTGTTATTCATATGTGATGAAAATTGGCCATTATGGTTTAGAGGTTGTATACTTGTATTCATGGGTATGAGATGTTATACTGTTTGAGTTTTTCCTGATGCACATTTGGTTAGACACCGGTTCCACTCCCATGTCTCTAAAAAACATTAAAAAAAAGAAGGGCGAAACAGCTAAGGAGAATGAAGGAACCGAAAATGACTAGTTGTTATTATTCATATCAGTAAGCATCAAGGGTACTCATCGTTTTGATTAGAGCATGTGCAACAGTGATATATCCCTATTTTTACTGTTTTTAGCTATGATTTAGATATTAGTTTTAGAGTCCATTTGTTATTTTTAGAGTCTTTTTTAGTTTTTTTCAGGTCTTTACAAGTTTGGGATTCATTTGGAGATAATGGAGCATTCTCGAGGAAAAAGAGAATTTATGCAGCTGAAGAAATCAGAAGACTAAAAACCGCGTAGGTGTCAAACGACACCACCCCTGGTTTTCGAGCGACACCACCCCTGGTGTCAAGTGGCACCAATACCTGACGGTAATTCGAAGACGCAACTTATTGAAGTTTTGAAGATTTCTAAATTCGGCTCGTAACTTTTCCTTATTTTTAAAGAAGGCCCATCACTTTTTTAGGTCATATATATAGTTTTTAGCTCATTGTTTAGACCTAAGCTTGGAAAGGCTATTCTCCTTTATATTTTTTGTTCTTGAGAGCAAAACCATGTGGAGACTCCCTTTAGATAAGATCTTTCTTACTCTTTCTCTTGATATATTAACTAATGATTTCTTGTTCATACTATGATTTGTGTTTCTTTTATCATGTCTGAGTTATCCACTTGTTAGGTTAAGGGTTTCTCATTAGGGATTCATATGATTTAGTAAATCGATCCCTGCTAAGTTATCTATAGAATTCTTGTATTTTTCTTGCTTACTCCAGATTTGAATGCCACTGGGGATAGTGACGTTTAAGTCTGGGAGAGGCACGTTTTTCTTTTTGAGTCTTATTCTTACTCTTATTTTTCTTATTTTTAAGTCGTTTATTGAATCAAAATTTTGTTAGGAATTATGATCCCTATTCTTTAGATTATTGCCTGGTTGATTAATGCTGCAGGTTTGACTCAATCCGACTATTGGAAAATCCAGATGGCAAACCATGAGACTTGAGGATATCCTGGTTTCTAACACAATCCTTTAAGGTTGGAGCTAATCTCACTGCTTTTCCTTTTACCTCATCAAAACAGTTAGTGTTCATAGAACTTGACTACTTGTTCATACCTGATATTGAAACCAATGTGAAAAAGAAAAGTATTCCTCTCCCCTTATATTAAAAAAAAAAGAAGTAAGATATTGATATGATTTTCGGTAGTGTATAGGGGTAGAAATTTTTCCCATGACCTAATAACACTGTATTTTACTCATTTTAGGTGTATGTTTATCATCATTTAGCTTTGCATTTGCTCATTGTATCATTTCATTTTGCACCATTTTAGCTTATTTTGCATACTTAGGCATCTAGGATCATCTTGCAGTCGCATTGCATGTTTTGGTGTGTTTTCAGGTGCAGAAGGAGCTAAAAAAGGACTTTACTCGATCCATTCACTCGATCCAGGCAGCTACAGAATAGGCATCAATTCACTCGACCTCTTCACTCGATCCAGGATGCGACAGAGGAGGCTGCAGTTTACTCGACCCTCTTACTCGATCAAGGCAGCCTCAGATGAAGCAGCAGATTGATCTACTCGCCCCTCCTACTGATCCTCTACTCGACCCATTTACTCAACCAAGGGTGACCAAACTACAAGACTTGTTGAGCTATCAAAGCGTCTTCAGATCCTCCTCATTCTCCACTAAACCAGACATCTGAGCATACGGATAGGAGAGGAAGAATCATCTACTCGATCAATTGATCACTCAGAGCATAGACACAAAAGCGCAGACTCTGCAGCACCCTCTTTACTCCATCCCCAAGATCGAGTATTCGCCCAAACCGCCTCAAGTCTCTTGTCGTCTAGTGAATCTAGGGTTTCAACATTTTACTATAAATAGATCACTTTGGGGTTTGTCCAAAGGATCTAGCTTTTATTTTTCAGTCTTTCTTTGTGTTTATGAATCTTGAAACCTTAATTACTCTTAATCTATTTCGTTTTTCCATTTAGTTGTTTAAGTAAAGTTGTTTAGCTTGTTTATATCTACATTATGGTATGATTTCAGTAATTTTTGGGTTTGTGTTCTTGAGAATGTTGCTTGAGTAGTGATTAGGGTTCTTGAGAATGGATTAGATTAAGGTAATCTCTAGGTTAGTTAGGTGGTCAAGATTAGGTTAGAACCCTTCTGGATTCGCTTGGCCCCTATGCGGTTTTCGCTGGCTAATGTGGAGATTCGATCGTAGACGTCCAGCGTCCAGAAGACGTTCAAATGGATGTCTGATCATCGAATTCCAGAGATTTGTAGTCTCGACCAAGAGATTGGCTTGTCTGCTTATTGGCTTTGGTAGATTGTTTCTTAAACCCTGCTCTGCTATGTTTCATCAACGACAGTTGAGATTAGGAATTTGTAGAGTTATGGGGGTCTCTATCACGAGAGTGGATGGACCTGGTTTTTGAATCTATCGTCAAGGGTATCTACCTTTCACCTATTAGCCATCTGATGAACCCTAGAGTTGCCCTTATCAATGAATCCATCCTTAGAACTTCTATTAGATTTATTTGTAACCCCTGTTGATTGCACTTTTATTTACCTGTTATTTGTATCCCCTGTTGATTGCATTTTAGTTCTGCCTATTGGTTCTACTCGACCCAATCGAGTAGGGCTCTTAAGTTCTCATTTTTACTTGTTCGAATCCTGACCTAGGATTGTTACTATAAACCCACCATCATTATAATCTGGCTTGACGTAGTTGTTTCTGTAGACATCTTGATTGGTAGCAATAATAGTGGACTGGATTGACACCCCCTATAGCTGCATCGACATGTTTGTGTATTAGGGGAATTGAACTGAACCACACATTCTGCATATAAGTAGGCATAGTAAACTTGCTTATCAATTTGGCGCCGTTGCTGATTCATTGTTGCGTTGTTACATTCAAGATATCAGAAACTTTTAAGATCAAGTTCTTTTACATTTATCAAGTTACTAACTCATATTTTCGTCTGCTTGTTTTTGTGGTATAGGTACTAATCTTTGTGCATGCTCAGATTATTTCCCTTCTCTTTGGGAGACAAAGCACACCACTAGGAAAAGACTTTGCCCCCAGACTCCATCACCTCATGGGACGATTGTAAGAAAGCTTTTCTTGCCAAGTTCTTCTCTAACGCTCGCACCGTTAGATTGAGGAACGAGATCTCAGGATTCACATAGAAAAACAATGAAACTTTCTGTGAAGCTTGGGAGAGGTTTAAAAGCTACACCACTCAGTGCCCCCATCACGGTTTCAAGAAAGCTTCAATATTGAGTACACTCTATAGAGGAGCTTTACCAAAGATCAGAATGCTACTCGACACCGCCTCCAATGGAAACTTCCTGAATAAGGATGTAGCAGAAGGATGAAGTTGGTCGAAAATCTAGCACAATCTGATGGGTGCAACAATGAATACTATGATCGCTTAGTGAGAGGAACTGGAGGTAGTGAGGATAAACAGAGCAAAGATATAAAGGCTCTGAATGAAAAGCTAGACAAGTTGTTGCTGGCTCAGTAGAAGCAGATACACTACATCACTGATAAAGAGCACTTCCAAATGCAAGAAGGGGGGAATGATCAAACTGTAGAGCTGTGCTACATTCAGAACCAAGGAGGTTTCAACAAGGGGAACAACAACTACGATCCCAACCCAAACCTCTCATAAAGAAGCACTAATGTACCTAACCCCCAAGATCAAGTGTATCCACCTCAACAGAATCAGTCCAAGCCTTTTGTTCAGTACGACCAAGGTTATGTCCCTAAACAACAGTTTAATGGAGGCTACCAACAACAGAATCCACCACCAGGGTTCACTCAACAACCAGAACCAGCCCCAACAGCTCAGGATCCTGAAATTAAGCAACTCATTCAACAGATCATCCAAGGACAAGCTACTGGAGCCATGGCTTTTGACATGAATATAGCTGAATTACACAACAAGATCGGTTGTTCTTACAACGATCTGAATGTCAAGTTTGAAGCTTTGAATTCAAAAATCAAGTATGTGGAGAGTCAATTTGCATCAACCTCTGCTCTGGAGCATCCTCAGCAACTTCCAGGGAAAGCAGTCCAGAATCCTAAGGACTATGCTACTGGTAATGCTATCACCATCCACTAAGAAGATGAGTCTCCACCAAGTCGTTAGACTCCCCATACTGAGGAAAATATGATTCAAGAAGGGGGGGGGGGATTCAACTCAAATTGCTGCACCTGCCACCCAGCAATTCATCTGGACTATAAAGCACACACCTTTGCTGAATACTCACCATCCTGGAAAAAAGTTCAAAATTGAAAAACTCAAGAAGGATCAGAATCAAGAGATGATCAGAAGTGCCTCTACCCAAGAAACATACAAGAAGAAAACCATCCAAGAAAAGCTTGATGATCCCTGTTCATTCAATCTGCCATGCTCTCTAGGACCATTGACATTCAATAGGTGCCTTTGTGATTTGGGAGCATCTGTTAGCCATATGCCTCTCTCTACAGCTAAAAGGCTAGGGATCATGGAATACAAGTTCTGCAACTTAGCTTTACTGTTAGCTGACGGTTCTGTAGCACATCCTCATGGTTTAATAGAAAATCTGCCTGTCAAGATTGGAAATGTTGAGATACCTACAGATTTTGTGGTATTGGACGTAGATGAAGAAGGCAGGGATCCCCTGATCCTAGGCAGACCATTCTTAGCTTCAGCTGGAGCATTCATAGATGTCAGGAACGAAAAAATTAATCTGAACCTTGAAAAAGGCATCAAGATGAAGTTTGACATCAGAGAATCTTCAGGGAAATCAACAACAGGAGTTCAGAATTTTGGGGTTCAGAACATGGATGTTGATGAAGAAGCAGAAGCTGGAACCCGACCAAGAGTTAACTATACTTCTCAACTTAGCAAGCTGAAGAGAACTTTTGACCACAAGAAGAGAACAACAGAAAGGCTAGCTCAGACTGAAGATCCTACAGAAGATGACTGGTATGAGATGAGAAAAAAAATTAAATGGCAAAGTAGAGTCATAGAAGGATTGTCTTCAAGGGTGATGAAGCTGAAAGATCAACTTTGGATGTTTGAAAAAAGAGTTAAAAAATTTTCAAATGGTATTGATCTAGAGAAGATGGAAACTGCACTAGCTATCAAGGAGGACGAAAATTTCACAACAGAATGGTTTGCACCAGAAGATCAGAAAGTAGTTCACTTAGAGGAAAGAAGCCTAGAGAGCAAGTTGTTGAGTGAGGAGGAAACTCCTATTCCGATTTATTCTCCAGGAATGCCTAAACAGCCCACCAACCCCTCTGCTGAAGAAGAATACTTGATTCATGATTCTGTTGCTGAAGAACTTCTAAAACTCTAGGTTGGATACAAAGCTCAAGAGGATACCATTGGGGAGCTAACTTACAAGATGGAAGGACTGAACCATGCAATCTTGGAACTTCAAGAAATGGTTAAAGGCTACCCCAGTTTCGAATTTTAGGATTGGTCAAAACAGCCTGGTTCAGAAGAAGAAGACTACTCTGCTGATCAGAAAGAAGCTTATTTTGAAGAAAAATCAAATGAGTACTCATCCTACCATATCTCAAGAGAGGATGCAGAGTATGATTCAAGCACTGAAAATTCGACCACTGAAGATGAGGACTTCTCTGTTCCTCTCTTCCATCTCTTTTCTGACTAAGCTCTGTAAGAGTTAAGCTTAGTGACTTAAAAAAGCTCACTTGGGAGGAAGTCCCATGTCTATCCATGTATATAACTTTCTATTTTTCTTGTTATTTTGATGTTTTTGTTTAAGTGTTTCAGGTTTATTTCATTATTCATTATGGAGTCAACGGTCGAGTAAATTCAAACCAAGTCAAGAAAAATCTCAACCGTTGATTGAGTAGAATGAGGAGGAGTATTTTGAGCCATTGATTTGAATGACTAAATGTGGGAAATCACCCTCACCGTTTGATCGAGTGACCAAGGGAGAAGTATTCTCCACCGTTTGATCAAGTATTTCACACTTCAAGAAGATACTCGATTCTTTACTCGAGCTCTCATATTTTGAAGACCAAGGCATAACTTCGTGACCCAACTTGCTCCCCAAACACTCCTTTACTCAACGGACAAAGAGATTACCCATGCCCCTCACCATTTACAATCAGCTTTTCTATCCTTTCCCAAAGAAACCAAACACCATTCTCCTCCACCCATTGAATTCGACAAACCCACTTTTGAAACTCTCTCTTTCATCATCTCATTTTCGCAAAATCTCCATCTCTCACAAAGCTTCAAAGTTTCACTCCAAACTCTTCACGAATTCGTTCTCACTTCATCATAATTCACCAAAGTCACTCGATCACTTCCAAGTTCATCCTCAAGCATTCAATCAGTTTCAAGCTCAATTTTTCATCACCAAAGAAACCGATTCCCTTCCCCTTTGATACCTCTTAGAGAAGTGTTCTTGTTTGCCCTGTCAAAGCTCACCACCAATCTCCATGGATTCAAGAAGGAGGAGTTCATCACGGGCAAGAAGATCCTCTATTGATAATGAGGAAGTTGAGGCGTTTGACATGAGTGGCATGACTGAACGCCTAATTCGCCAAGCTCGTCGTGCTCAAAGATCAAGCTTGATTCAAGGTGGAAGCTTAAGCCGCTCAACCATGCAAAGAGAAGAAGTAGCTTGAAGCTGAAGAAGAACACCATGAAGAAGCACCTTTTGAAGAAGCGGTTTCTAAGGAAGAGGTTGAGATCATCGGGGATGATACACCAACCCTTGTTGGGAGAAGAAACCGGCCTAGGAGGAAGAGAGAGCCAACCGAGCGAGTACTATCAATATTTGAAGGAGTTGAAGTTTGAGGGAACTAGATACCCTCATAAGGAAACGATGCAAGAGCTTGATATTTGTGGTGATGTGGAATTCTTGATGGAATTGGCCAATCTTGCAACATTCATGAGCTGCCAATGTGGGGGATACAAAGAGGAGACCTACCAACTCCTTGCAACCCTCAAGGTTCATTTTTGTGTTGATGATTCGAAGAAAGAAGAGAGAGGAGGTCTTGGTTACATAACTTTCTAAGTTAGGGATGTCGAGTATACTCTTGATATTTGCCATCTTGATACCATTTTCGGGTTCCCAAGTGGAGAAGAAATCCGCCCAGACTATGATCAAGAAGAGCTGAAATCTCTTTGGAAGACAATCGCCGGTCTGAAACCCTTCTCGCCAACCAAGAGCAAGAGTTTTTCAATCCGAAATCCTGTGATTAGATACCTCCACCAATGCATCGCCAACACCCTCTTTCCAAAGAAGGCCACCGGATTTTTTAGTGAAGAGGAGCTATGCATGATAGACCAATCTTTGGTCTTCATTTTGAGGGAGACAAAAGATGGGAGAAAGATGGCGGGTGATAGAGCGGACACTTCGTTGAGTGTTGTTCTCTTGGATCACCTTTTGAGCTACAAGGAGTATGCTGCAACCATCCATCGCTCGGGAATTCGCGGGAGTCTTTGTGTTGGTGGTCTCTTAACGCCAATACTAGGAGCTGTGGGTATGGAATTCAGAACCCCTGACGTGTTGCCTAAATTCATTGACCTCGACTATCTCAAGGGGAAGGATTTTCTTGAGAAAACAACTCCAGCGGATCGCTACCTCTTCAAGTTCAACCATACGGAGCTTGGACCTTCTCTATTGCCCCTACCATGCGAGAACCGGACTTCGGTGAAGACAAGGCGCAATATCAATTTCATGCCATCCCCTTCTGCCTTGAACCGGACTTTGGTGAAGACAAGGCGCAATATCAATTTCATGCCATCCCCCTCTGCCTTGAACATCGACATTGGAGGAGTTCGAGAGGATGAACCGGAATATAGTCCAGCCGCCTATTAGCAACATGAGTACTTTACTCAAGCTGATTATGAGGAGCAAATCGAGTTTGAGCAACATATTGATCAACCTGAACAAGGGACCAGGGAACAAGAGCAAGCTCATTATGAAGAAAGTGCTGACCAAGAGGGAGATGAGATAGCTGAAGTTCACAAGAAGCTCGGTGTGCTTGAAGAGCTTGGAAACCTTCACAGCAAGACAATGAAGGGTTTCAAGAAGAAGATGAGAACGATGAAGAAGTCGCTGAAGAGTATGGCTGCTCAACTCAAGGACTTCCAGAGCAAGCCAAGGCCACCGTTTCCCAACCCCGAAGTAAGAAGAAGCGGTTCAACGAGCTCAGCTGCAAGGAGAGCTGAAAGGATCGATCAACCCCGAGCTTCATCTTTTGAGCCTCGGGAAGTGATCTCGG